TTTTTTTTTTGAGACAGAGTCTCGCTTTGTTGTCCAGGCTAGAGTGAGTGCCGTGGCGTCAGCCTAGCTCACAGCAACCTCAAACTCCTGGGCTCGAGTGATCCTTCTGCCTCAGCCTCCCGAGTAGCTGGGACTACAGGCATGTGCCACCATACCCGGCTAATTTTTTTATATATATATCAGTTGGCCAATTAATTTCTTTCTATTTATAGTAGAGACGGGGTCTCGCTCTTGCTCAGGCTGGTTTTGAACTCCTGACCTTGAGCAATCCGCGCAATCGGGTTTTGCCAGAAGTTCTTTTTGAAATTTTTTCTTTAATTCTGCTATTTCTCCTATTCATCTCAGTCTGCAATTTTATCTCATCTCTTATGTATTGCTTTACAAAGTCTATGTTTCCTTTAATTTTCTCGAGTGCAAAGCGTTTTCTGCCTAAAAAAAAAAAAAAATCTGGAGTTAAATTACAATAACTGAAATAAAACATTCACTAGAGGGGTCAAATTAGTTAACAGAAGAAAGAATCAGTGAACTTCAAGACAAATCAATTTAGATTATCCAGTCTCAGCAACATAAAGGAAGAGACCTATGGGACACAACAGAGTATCAATATATGCCTATCTCAGAGAGGAGAGAGAGAGAAAGGGACAGTATGTAATAAATACTTTGGCTGGCCTTTTCCCCTGGTTCCTGGGAGGTAACCTCTAAATCCAGGAATAGGAGTATCTTTGTTATTCATGGTAATCCCCTGAGATCACACCTGATAGTTTGTACTACAAGGCGATGTACTTTGGGCCACTACATAGTTTAGGCTGACGAGACAGGATGAGCAGGAAACACCAGAAAGACCAACCACATGATTAGAGAGTTGGGATCCTGAGTAGCATGATACCAGCCTGATATCAGACTAACCTCGTCAAATTCTATTTATAAGAAATGTCCAGAACAGGCAAATTCATAGAGACAGCAAGTAGGTTTGTGGTTACCAGTTGCTGGGGGTAAGGTAAAATGGGGAGTAACTGTTAGTGGGTATGGGGTTTCATTGAGGGGTGATGATAATGTTCTGAAATTAGAGGCAGTAATTATATAACTTTTTATATATAGTAAAAACCATCATACACTGAATCATATACTTTAAAAGGTTGAGTTTTATGGTGTATGAATTATTTCAACAACTAAATATTAAATATTTATACATAAATGATGACTCTTTCAAAGTCAAAATTTCTTACAAAGAGATGTTTCTTAGAACTGTTTACAATTTTTAAAATAAACATTTAATCCTGAAAACAATGAAATTTAGCTGTTTCAAGTGCAATATACAGAAGTTTTATGAATCTTTTCAATATAGTGGGACTTGCTGAGAATCAGCAAACAAATTACTAGCAGCACATAGAAAACAGTAATACTTAAAGAATTTTGTTGCCGGCCGGGCCCGGTGGCTCACGCCTGTAATCCTAGCTCTCTGGGAGGCCGAGGCGGGCGGACTGCTAGAGGTCAAGAGTTCAAAACCAGCCTGAGCAAGAGCAAGACCCTGTCTCTACTATAAATAGAAAGAAATTAATTGGCCAACTGATATATATAGAAACAATTAGCCGGGCATGGTGGCGCATGCCTGTAGTCCCAGCTACTTGGGAGGCTGAGGCAGAAGGATCGCTCGAGCCCAGGAGTTTGAGGTTGCTGTGAGCTAGGCTGACACCATGGCACTCACTCTAGCCTGGACAACAAAGCAAGACTCTGTCTCAAAAAAAAAAAAAAAAAAAAAGAATTTTGTTGCCTACTACAGAGGCTGCAAAAATGTAATCACACTGTTCTCTTTCAAAATCAGCCTTGAAACGCTACTCACCAAATACACCGCTCTTTGGAAGAAGGTTGTGGTCTCCAGAATTTTGTGCATGGTGATGGTTTCCAACTCATCAGGATCTAGCTGTTCCTTTTCCAAGGGCATTCCATTGAACAGAACAACAGGCAAGGGACCAACTCCAGTCTGCTCATAGTAGCCTCTTGCTTCCTAAAACACAAGGAACCACAAAACCTATTGGTTTTTTTATTTCAGCATATTATGGGGTACAAATGTTAAGGTTACATATATTGCCCTTGACCTCCTCCCCCTTCAAGTCAGAGCTTTAAGCATGACCTTCCACCAGACAGTGTGCCTCACACTCGTTATGTATGTATATACCCATCCCCCTCTCCCCCCTCCCACCTGTCTGACACCTGATAAATGTTTTCCGATATGTCCACTTAGATGTTGATCAGTTAATACCAATTTGCTGGTGAGTACATGTGGTGCTTGTTTTTCCATTCTTGGGCTACTTCACTTAGCAGAATGGGTTCCAGCTCTATCCAGGAAAATACAAGGGGTGCTGGATCACCATTAAAACAGAGTGTTAGCCGGGCGCAGTGGATCACGGCTGTAATCCTAGCACTCTGGGAGGCTGAGACAGGGGGACTGCTCAAGGTCAGGAGTTCAAAACCAGCCTGAGGAAGAGCGAGACCCCGTCTCTACTATAAATAGAAAGAAATTAATTGGCCAACTAATATATACATAGAAAAAATTAGCAAGGCATGGTGGCGCATGCCTATAGTCCCAGCTACTCGGGAGGGATTCCTTGAGCAGGAGTTTGAGGTTGCTGTGAGCTAGGCTTACACCATGGCACTCACTCTAACCTGGGCAATAAAGCGAGACTGTCTCCAAAAAAAAAAAAAGAGTGTTTTTGCTGTTCATGTGACAAATGGAACAAAGCATATTTTCCTTACATGCCTATTCTAACAGGAATACAAAAATCAATAGAAACATGGTGAAGAAGAAATAACTAAAGTTTTTGTTTGTTTGTTTTTTAAATAGAAGCTGGGTGAGGTAGCGTGTGTCCCAGATACTCTGAGGGCTGAGAGGAGGGGAACACTTGATTCCAGGCATTCAAAGTTGCAGTGTGCTATAATTGTGCCTGTCAACAGCCACTGCATTCAAGCCTGGGCAACACAATAAGACCATTGACTGTTAAAAAAAAAGAAAAGAAAAGTGACATCATAGTTAATATCCTACTAAGTAAGTTTGAGACTAAATTACTGAGTTTTCATAAAACCACAGAACATTGCCAATTAGGAAATGGTTTCTATGTATGTTTACATGTGTGTGTGTATGTGTGCATTGGACAACAGAACTTTCTGCAATGATGGAAATAGTCTATCTGTGCTGCCGAGTACAGTAGCCACGAACCACATGAGGCCATTTGAACACTTGAAATTTAGCTACTACAACTAACCAAATAAAATTAATTTTATTTAATTTTAAATTTCATTAAAAACCCCCCATGTGGCTAGGGCTACCATAATGAGCTGCATAACTAGATTACCATAAATTAATATTGCCCTTGGATAGAAACCCTGAGATAAAATATTTCCACCCAATTTTAATCACAAAGAAAAAATTCCATATCACTAACAAAGAAATTGTACCTGTAGTAAACAAAACACGGTTTATAGGAAAACAGTACTCAAAAACTGCTCTAATATATAGTAAGCCCAATCTTTTCTTTTCCAAACAAAAGAATTTGTTAGCAGGGAAATGCCAGAGCAACAAAATGACAAATATTAATAAATCTGAGATTGATACTTTCTGTCGACAAAGGTACTGTTCCCTCAGACTAACCTCATAGAGTATAAACTGTATTACTACCGAAGATGTAAAGAGGGCTACTTTAAAACTTCCTGAACACTCTGTAACTGATATTTTCTGAAAATGGCAGAATTATGTATAATCTTTCCTTAGATAGCACAAGGAGAAAAGCACTTCAGTGGGGAACGGAAAGCAGTCATCAGTAAAAGACTGCTAATAGTCGCTAATCGGATCTAGCCACAGTAATAAACGATGGGACAGACTTAACTGATGGGCTATAAGATGTCACTACAAAAGGTTTTCTAGGTTAGTAGCAGCATTCTCTATATTACTGTTTAAATTTTAAAATCTTCTAAAACTCTTATTAATTCTCTTCTTAAGATATCAACAATTTCATAGATGTCCATAAAAACTCAATTTTAGGCTGGGCATCATGGCTCACACCTGTAATACTAGCACTCTGGGAGGCCGAGATGGGGGGAATCGCTCAAAGTCAGGAGTTCAAAACCAGCCTGAGCAAGAGCGAGACCCCGTCTCTACTAAAATAGAAAGAAATGAATTGGCCAACTAATATATATATAAAAAATTAGCTGGGCATGGTGGCGCATGCCTGTAGTCCCAGCTGAGACTGAGGCAGGAGGATTGCTTGAGCCCAGGAGTTTGAGGTTGCTGTGAGTTAGGCTGACACCATGGCACTCACTCTAGCCTGGGCAACAAAGTGAGACTCTGTCTCAAAACAAACAAACAAACAAACAAAAATTCTATTTCTCTATTTTAATCTGAGCTTTGAAAATCACCTCCTCCAACCAATCAAAACAAAGCAGAACAAACTACTCATGTTATGTCTCTAAGTGACAATAAGAAATAAGGAATAAGAGGATCAAGATGGCGGACGAGAAACCCCGCCAGAAAGAATATCTCTACAGAAAAGACAGATTCTAGCAGAAATTAGAAAAAACAAGCAAGAAATCGAGCATACAGCAGACGAGGGCCAGAAGGAGGGGTACCTGAGACCCCGGGAGACTCCACGGGAGGAGGCTGCAGAGGAAAACTGGAAGCTGAGACCGCCGGAGCAGCCTGGAGACCAGCGGGAAGGGTAGGTGGATAAATCACCTTTCCCCTCCCCTGCATGTGGAACTGCTGGTGGGCTCCCCAGTGGGTGGAAAGACCTGCGGACACCAGCCCAAAGACGGCCGCCGCCAGCTAGCGGTGAGCCCATAGTGGACGCAGCACCAGACTCCCAAATCCCTAGGGGCAGGCGCCATATTGCCTCCTCTGACCCTACCCACAGCTGCCCAGAGAGACAATACAGCCACCAGCCGGAGGCAACTCCAGGGAACGGGACCTTCTCTTTTGGGACCCTACAGCTGACTAAGCAGAACTTAGACTGTGAGCTCCCTACCTGCCAGCCCTCCCAGGTGCTGCTGGCACGGTGTTCCCAGGAGAACGGGGCAAACTCAGAGGCTGAGAGACACAGACACAGCTTGGGCTCCCTGTGGGTGAATTGGGACCGGAACTCCTCTCCCTGGTGGGGATACAGTTAGAACTCTGGGACCCAGAGGTCGGACATGCAGACCAGATCCCATGCACTGAGGTCTAGCATTGCCCAGGGCACAGAAGGGATATTTGTGAACAGCCTGCTGAAGTGTGTTTGCCTCCAGGGGCAGATCAGCATCCTAGAGGGCAACCCTCCCACCAAAGGGAGGCCCTGCGCCCAGCTCAGGTGGCGTATCTGCGCAGGAAAACTCCCCGCCAGCATCACAATCCGGAGAGGCCTGGTAGTGTGTGGTCTGGCCTGCTGGCAGAGGCCCAGGAGTAGCTGCGGAGTTGGGGAGGGTGGAAAGAAGCGAGGCCCGCTCCAGACTGCGGGTCTCAGACAGCCCCACCCCACACCCAGACTTTCTGGCTGAGTGGGACCATTCCAGCCCCACCCTGACAGCTTTTCCTGGAAGCAGAGAACAGAACTTTGACCCCTGCTAACGGCATTGGTGGTGCCTGAGGGCAGGCTTACCCAACCCAGCCCCGCCAGAACAAAGCTGATAACAGGACACAAAATCAACAGCATAGCCTGTTCCTCCAAGCAAGCGGCACCTTCTTACGGGGACGGCATCCTGCACAGCCTTTTCACGGCACCCACTGACTCCTCATACAGGGAGTGGTCGAATCTCACCCACAGACAACACCTACCGGCTCAGAAACAAAACAAGGCGTGTGAATACCCAAACAGAAACCTAAAGGAAAGAAACAACAACTGATCAACATGGGAAGAAATCAGCGAAAGAACTCAGGAAATATGAAGAACCAAATGGAAAACTCTCCCCCAAAGAGGAGCCCCAGCCCCCTAGAAATGGATACCAACCCAAATCAGGCAACCAAAATGACAGAAGAGAAATTTCGTATGTGGATCATAACAACACTCACCGAACTGCAACAACAACTCAATAACCAACACAAAGAAACCACCAAAAGCCTCCAGGACCTAGAACAAAAGTTCACTAAAGAAATAGACACAATGAAGAAAACTTTCACCGAACTCCTGGAAATGAAGAATCAATTCAGGGAACTACAAAATACAGCGGAAAGTCTCAAGAACAGGGTAGATCAAACAGAAGAAAGAATCTCAGAGATGCAGATAACACCCTCCAACTAAAAAAAACCATCACAGAGATAGAGCAGAGAACAAGAGAAAAGAGCAAACCTACAAGAGATTGATATATGTGAAGAAACCTAACCTGAGGTCATAGGGTTATCAGAAGGGAAGAGGACAACACCCAAGGGTTGACAGCTATTTGAAGATATAATAGAGGAAAATTTCCAGGCCTTGCTCAAAATCTCGATATACAAGTTCAAGAAGCTCAGAGGACCCCTGGGAATTCAATGCAAACAGAAGACGTCACGACATGCAGTCATCAGACTGACCAAAATCAACTAAAGAGGCCCTTCTAAGAGCTGTAAGATGAAAGAAGCAAGTGACATACAAGGGAAAGCCAATTCGAAAACACCAGACTTCTCTAATGAGACTTTACAAGCAAGGAGAGACTGGGGGCCATTCTCACTCTTCTGAAACAAAACAATGCCCACCCTAGAATCTTATTCCCTGCAAAACTAAGCTTCATCTATGAAGGAGAAATAAAGACATTCTCAGACAAGCAGAGTCTCAGAGAATTCACCAAGACAAGACCAGCCCTACAAGAAGTACTCAAAACAGTGTTACGCAGGGAACACCATAATAAAAACTCACGAATAAAAAACAACCAAAACCCAAAGATTAAAGCCAGATAATACAATGGCTCAAAGAGAAATCAAAGCAACAACATCCAACCCAACAGAAGTGAACAATAATCTACTTACCTATCAGCTTCTCTATTAAAGTGAATGGCTTAAACTCTCCACTCAAGAGACATAAGGCTGGCTGAATGGATAAGAAAAACAGGCGAGTATATGCTGTCTCAGGAAACACATATAACCTGCAAGGATGCAATATAGACTAAAAGTAAAAGGGTGGAGATCAGTATTCCAGGCAAGGGGAAGCCAAAAGAAGGCTGGCGTGGCAGTTCTAATTTCAGAGGATTTAGTTTTTAAACCAAACAAGTAGTGAAAGACAAAGAGGGTCATTATGTAATGGTGAAGGGCACACTTCAACAAGAAAATAACAATTTAAATATATATGCACCCAACTTAGGTGCACCCAGTTTCATAAAGCAAACCTTACTGGATCTAAGCAAATGATTAACAGCAACGTCCATAATCACCGGAGATTTCGACACCCACTGACGGCATGAGACAGATCTCCAAACAGAAAAATAAAGAAATAATGGACTTAAAGAAAACCTTGAACAACTGGTCTGACTGACATCTACAGGACATTCTACCCAAAACCACTGAATATACGTTCTTCTCATCAGCTCACGGGACATTCCTAAGATTGACCATATCCTAGGACACAAAGTAAATCTCAAGAAATTAAAAAAAGAAATCATACCATGTACCTTCTCAGATAACAGTGGAATAAAAGTAGAATCAACCCTAACAGGAACTCAGATTTTTACCACAAAACGTGGAAATTAAACAACCTCCTACTAATGATTACTTCATAAAGAAGAAATCAAGATGGAAATAAAAATAATCTATACTCTTACACTGCTGGTGGACTGCAAACTAGTTCAACCTCTGTGGAAAGCAATATGGAGATACCTTAAAGTGATACAAGTGAATCTACCATTTGATTCAGCAATCCCATTGCTGGGCGTCTACCCAAAAGATCCAATGACACTCTACAAAAAAGACACTCGCACTCGAATGTTATAGCAGCACAATTCATAAGACAAGGCTGTGGAAACAGCCCAAGTGCCATCAATCCAAGAATGGATTAATAAAATGTGTATATGTATACCATGGAGTACTATTCACTCTAAGAAACAATGGCGATATAGCACATCTTATATTTTCCTGGTTAGAGCTGAAATACATACTATTAAGTGAAGTTTCCCAAGAATGGAAAAACAAGCACCACATATACTCACCAGGAAATTGGTATTAACTGAACAGCACCTAAGTGGTCACATAGGTACTACAGTAAGAGGTATGGCAGGGGGGAGGGGCAGGTATATACACTATATATATAGTGAGATGTGCACCATCTGGGATGGTCATGCTGAACCTCAGACTTGTGGGGGGGGAATGCCATTTATTGAAACCTAAATCTGTACCCCCATAATATGCGAAAAAAAAAAAATAAAATAAAATAGAATAAAAAGAAATAAGGAATATTACTTTTCCCTGGAAATGGCAACTGAGTGAAAGTTCGAAGGGAGTTGGCACCATTTTTCTATATAGTCTTTTTTTTTTTTACCACTTGTAAATAGTTTACAAGACCAAATAACACAATGCAGCCGAATCATCAAAGAACAAAACTTAAAAATCATATGTGCAGGCCAGGTCTGATGGCTCACTCCTGTAATCACAGTGCTCTGGGAGGCAGAAGTGGGAGGACTGCTTGAGGCCAGAAGTTCAAGTCCAACCTGGGCAATATAGTGAGATGCCATTTCTACAAAAGTTTTTTTAAAAAACTAGCCGAGTGCGGTAGTGTGTGCCTGCAGTCCCAGCTACTTGGGAGGCTGAGGCAGGAGGACCACTTGAGCCCAGGAGTTTGAGGCTACAGTAAGCTATGATCATGCCATTGCTCTACAACCCGGGCCCTGGTTGACAGAGTGAGAACCTGTCTCTTTAAAAAAAAAAAAAATTACATGTGCAACTTTTCTATTAAAAAGTAATAAATAATTAACAAACATTAATTTCAAACAGTTTTATACTAAGCCACTAAGAAACAACAACTGAGATTAATTAAGGACTCAGGGTTAATATGCGAAATATAGGATGTCTGCATGTGTAAGTTACAACTTTTCCTAATGCTATTATCTTATTGGCTTTGAAAAATATAAATACACACCAATCAGAGTATATTCTCTTCAGTTTAAAATGTCTACTTTAATTGTATTGCCTACTTTTAGAAAATAATTACTTCTTTCAAATATCAGACACAGAATATACCATAGCTTAAGGTTTGTAACAAAAGGCACAGGTATTTTTAAGTGCAATGACATTTGTTAAAAGCAGCCATTTTTCCTAAAAAATAATCATTTCAAAAGAATCCATTCTTTTAAGTTTTATTGTGTGGGGCTAAAGTCCTTGTAGTTTAAAAATCTTGGCCAAGCCGTGATTGCTCAAGCCTGTAATCCTAGCACTTTGGAAGGCTGAAGCGGGAGGATCCCTGGAGGCCAGGAATACTAGACCGACCTGGGCAACATTGTGAGCCTCCATCTCTATAAATAAAATAAAAATTAGCTGAGTGTGGTGGCACATCCCTTTAGTCGTAGCTACTTGGGAGGCTGAGGCAGGAGGACCACTTGAGCCCAGGAGTTTGAGGCTGCAGTGAACTATGATCACACCACTGCACTCCAGCCTGGGAGAAAGAGCAAGATCCTATTCCACCCCCAACTCCCTCCACAAATCTTATTAGTCATTAGATTCTTAGGGCTTCTGGGCTCCTCTCAACATCCTTGCCTTGAGACTATTTCTACTCGAATAGCTAGGAAATTAAGTGCCTTCAATATAAAAATCTGTCTGTATAAGGAAGGGCCTCTAGAAATTGGCCATATCTAGGAAACCACTATGGAGTGCCCTTCAATGATATTCCCTAAGCTACACTCCCATTTGATTCTTCAGCAGAATCAAGATTCTGGTACATGTGAAAATACTCTTCCCCAATTTGTCCACTCTATTCAATATTTTTCAAGCTAATACTTTTGATATAGCAATCATCCATAATAAAAAGCTACTTGCACTCTTTCTTTAATAAAAGAAAATTAAGCATTTTCCAAATGTGAAATACGAAAAATTTTTCAAACCATTAGTATTCTCAAAGTGACCCTCCTTTTATTTCATTTATTTTTTTTCTACAGAGTACCATTCTTGCTGCTTATACCAATCTGAATTAAAAAAAAAAAAATCACTGATCATCCATATCAATGTTAATTTAAAAATCTAGGAAAAGTAAGTGATTAAACAGAGAGCTACAGTATAATAATGGAATCATTCACAGGCTACACAGAGTAGATCTCGTTACCAGCTTCAATTCCAAGCCTGACTCCGGACAACTTAAAACAAACAGACTTAACACTAAAGTACAGATTCAGAAACAAGAAAGAGAATGAAGGCAGGTGGAATGGCATCCACTCAGATCTTCTGGATCCTGGTATGAACTGACCTTTCCAAAAGTGGTAGCATAGAGCCAGTATTTTACTTAGTCTTATACGCAATATCAATTTACACATATAATAAACCTTTGTCACTCTACAAACTGGAATTCACAGAGCAGGCAGGTGTTACTGCCTCCAGCAAACCTTCCGCAGTCACCTGTTACACACTGGCGGAGCTGCCATCCCTGCACTGAGCCTGCAGCCTCACCCTAACCAACACCATCCTGTTTTCGTTTGTCTGTCTCCACCAGGGAAGGTGTGTGAGCTACCCGAATGCAAGCAACTACCCAAGTTTCAAGGCTGGCACAGTTACCCAATACTTCTGTAAGTACTTTAAAATTAAAACTTTATTCCTTATTCCAAAGTATTTCAGAAATTTCCCTAGTTGTGTTTTTGACCTGCTAAGTAGTATTTTGTTTAGTCCCTCTAAAACCTTGATCAACTTGCAGCAGCAGATCTCTTGACCAATCTGAACTGTCTAATTTACCCAATTAACAAATACCAGCTTATTAAAGTATGCTGAACACTCACACTGATGAGTTCTCTCTAGAATGTAAACATACTTTTGCTCTCCTCAGTTAAGCTATATGCTTTACCAAGCATCAGCTATGTCTCTTACCAAACAAACCACTTTTGTTAGTGAAATAACATAATTTATTATGTAAACCAATAAAATATGAGTATGAAAATAAAAAGGTGTTCTTCCCACAAAGACAAATTGAATGACTAGAAAATTCAAAAAGGTGAGAGGCTAAAACCAGCTGATGCTGAATTGGGTATGGGTCAAACAGCTACATAAGACTTGGGAGGAGATTATAAAAATCTAGAAGGATTCTAGATTCAGATGACAGAGAACTTATAAACAATTCATTCTGAGTATGCTTTATAAAGGAATGATAGCTCAGATCTCCAAACAGAGGACCCAAAGGCCTTATCCTTCATTTGAAATAAAGAAAAAAAGATACTAAATAAATACACTTTTCTATGTTTTAAATCAAAATGTTTCCAAAATATATTTTCATTCCTTACCTTAACAAACATTTTTTAGAAAACCAACCAACTTCTTCCTGCTTGCAATGGGTAAAGGTCATTTGTTGTATTTTATTCTCACAAAAGAAACCCACTATCCTTAAATGAAAATTTTGAAATTTTTTCTCATTATACCCTCATTACTATACTTTGCCACTCTGTTCATTACATTTCTTTATTTATTTCCATTCTTAGCCTACATAACTAAGTAAAGCCAATATGATATATATTAAGCTGCACATAATATCCTGGCTCTATACTTCTAATAGATTTAGTCCAGAACAATACTCACACAAGTACTACCACTGCATTGTGAAAAAGAAATTGTTTTCAATTAAATAGTTAATATGCAAGTTAAAAGTTGGTGATATCTTCATAAAACTGAAATAAAATCTTTTTCAAATACTGAAGAGTGCTCTGGTTTCTAATGTTAAGGAGTGAAACTCTTTCACCACCACAACCACCAGTATTAATAAAAGCTCCAAAGAAGGGGAGGAAAGGACAATACCGTGTTGCAGTCAAACGAGAAGTGCCAAAGAATTATTTACCTTCCGATTTTGATCATAAGCAGAATCAATCCCCAAAATGCTATTCACTTCTACATATGGATATTTCTTCTCCAGGACACTGACCACATGTTCAACTTTCACTTTTTCTCCGGTTCTCACCTTGTTATAGATCTAAAGAAAGAAAAACCATTTAACCAACTACACTTTTAAGTTCAAATTTCAAAGCGTTCATTACAAAATACTTCTGAATATAGAGGAAAATACGACTATTTTTCTCAAAAGGTCAAATTGAGTCATGTTAGCAATTTTCTATTTTCCATATACCTTATTAATATGACTGCTTAGGTTAGAAACTAAATATTCTTTAAAAGGCTTAATCAGTTCATACTCATGATAAGCCCCAAATACAACAATGTGTTAAGAAAAATCTGGGCCGGGCATTGTGGCTCTCACGCCTGTAATCCTAGCTCTCTGGGAGGCCCAGGCAGGAGGATGGCTCAAGGTCAAAAGTTCGAGACCAGCCTGAGTAAGAGTAAGATCCCGTCTCTACTAAAAATAGAAAAGAAATTAATTGGCCAACTAAAAATATACAGAAAAAAATTAGCCGGGCATGGTGGCACATGCCTGTAATCCCAGCTACTCGGGAAGCTGAAGCAGAAGGATTGCTTGCGCCCAGGAGTTTGAGGTTGCTGTGAGCTAGGCTGACGCCACGGCACTCTAGCCTGAGCAACAGAGTGAGACTCTGTCTCAAAATAAAAAATAAGATACACCGGTACTCTTAAAGAATCTTAGCAGAAATTGCAGCAATCTATTATTAACATTACTGAATCGATAAAGTAAAGGCAAACCCGAAAATATAATATACAGTTTGACAAATAATTTACTCACTTTGTCTTTTTACAGAAATATAGAATCCTCTTAACATATATAGTTTTCTATAGTAAGTTAGATTGAAAAAATTATTTGCCATTTTGAACACAAACATACATGTGTCAGAGCTTGGAAGGCATGATAATCATCCACTTCTTGGGCAACATAGTTATACGCTCTAAGAACAGCCACACCAGCATCTTGCATCCCATCAACATCTTCAGAGTCATTAACCAAAAACATAAAACCAATTCTGCAGGAGGAGAGAAAAAAAAAAGAAACATCTCAAAGATTGCAACAATTTAAAAGGAATGGTATCCTCATACCTGCCTCATGTATTATAGCTAATAGAGAAAAACTATCCTTAAGTGAAAAGCACAGTTGACATCCTACTCTAACATAGTTTTTGACAAAGTATACATACATCACAAAATCAAAAAGCAGGTTCACAAACCTGGCTCAGACTTTTCCACTGTTAAAGCAACCCATTTCTATATCATGAAAACATTCCTTTACTGACATGAAGAGTGCAACTATAGTTTTAGTAAAAGATTCTGTTCTGATTTTAAACAAAAATTAGGAGAAATAAGAATTTTCAGACTATAAAAGTAAACAGAAAAGGGGGGATTTTGAGATTTAACATAGGCAATATGAGAATCATAGGTAAAAGAAAAGCAAAAAAAAATTTATAATTGTCCTACAACAAAAAGCTATAACCAAAGATAAAGTTTATTAACTTTTAAAATTTAAAATAAAGGAATAAAGCACAAAGAGATACCATTATAGATCTTCGGATTGGTGGCAAAAAAAAGTCTTACAAAAGCAATTCAATGGACAAAGATTAGTCTTTTTTCAAAATATGGTGCTGGAATAGTTGGACATCCACAAGCAAAATAATAAATCTAGATGCAGACCTTATAGCCTTCACAAAAATTAACTTAAAGTGGATCACAGATCAAAATATGAAACATAAAACTATAAAATTCCAAAGAAAACATAGGTTTGTTGGGTTTGGCAATGACATGTTAGATCTGAAAGCATGATCCATGAAAGACAAAACTGGTAAGTTGGGCTTCGTTAAAATTAAAAATGTCTTCCCTATAAAGGACACTATTAAGAAACTGAATAGATAAGCCACAAACTGGCAAGAAATCTTTGCAAAACATCCATCTGATAAAGGACTGCAATCCAAAATATACAATGAATTCTTAAAACTCAACAATAAGAAAATAAACACCAAATTAAAAAATGGGCCAAAGATCTGAGCAGACACTTCACTGAACAAGACAGATGATAAATAAGTAAATGTTAAACATCACATGTCATTAGTGAACTGCAAATGAAAATAACAATGAAGGCCAAGTGCAGTGGCTCACACCTGTAATCCTAGCACTCTGGGAGGCCGAGGCCGGCAGATTGCTCGAGGTCAGGAGTTCGAAACCAGCCTGAGCAAGAACGAAACACTGTCTCTACTAAAAAGAGAAAGAAATTAATTGGCCAACTAAAAATACATAGAAAAAAAAACTAGCCAGGCATGGTGGTGCATGCCTGTAGTCCCAGCTACTAGGGAGGCTGAGGCGCCAGGATTGCTTGAGCCCAGGAGATTGATGTTGCTGTGAGCTAGGCTGATGCCACAGCACTCTCTCTAGCCTGGGCAACAAAGCAAGACTCTGTCTCAAAATAAAAGAAAGAAAATGACAACATATCACTCACTATACACATGTTAGAATGGCCAAAATCCAAAACACTGACAAGGATGTGGAGCAACAGGAATTCTCATTCACTGCTGGTGGGAATGCAAAATGGTGCAGCCACTTTGGAAGACAGTTTGGTAGTTTCTTACAAAACTAAGCATATTCTTCCACACAATGCAGCAATTGTGCTCCTTGGTATTTACCCAAAAGAGCTGAAGAGCTTATGTCCACACAAAAATCTGCACCTGCATGTTTATAGCAGCTTTATTCATAAGTGCCAAAACTTGGAGGCAACCAAAATGTCCTTCAACAAGTGGATGGTTAAATAAATGGTCATACATCCATATATTGAATTTTATCCAGTGATAAAAGAAAATGAGCTATCAAGCCACAAAAAGACACAGAGGAACCTTAAATGCACATTGTGAAGTGAAAGAAGCCAATCTGAAAAGGCAACATACTATATGATTACAACTACAGAACATTATGGAAAAGACAAAACCATAAAGACAGTACAAAGATAAGTGGTTACCAAAAATTTAGGAGAATGGAGGAAGAGACAAATAGGTACAGCACAGGAGATTTTTAGGGTAGTGAAACTAATCTATATTAAATTATATTATAACATGAATATTCAATATCTGTAAATGCCCACAGCATGTGCAACACAGACAGTGAATGTTAATGTAAACTATGGAGTTTAGTTAACAATAATGTATCAGGATGGCTCTAAAAAACTACAGTCTATTAATTTAAAAATATGAAGGGGCCAGGCACAGTAGCTCATGCCTGCAATCCTAGTACTTTGGGAGGCCGAAGCAGAAGGATTGCTTGAGGTCAGGAGTTCTAGACCAGCCTGGGCAACATAGCAAAAAAATGTTTTTGAAAATTAGCCATGCATGGTGGCACATGCCTATAGTCCTGGAAAGGCGGAAGGACCTCTTGTGCCCTGGAGTTCAAGGTTACATTGAGCTATGATTGGACCACTGCACTCCAGCCTGGGTTACAGAGGGAAGCTATGTCTCTAAAAAATATATAAAAATAAAAACAAAGAGAGGCCAGGCGCAGTGCCTCACGCCTGTAATCTTAGCACTCTGGGAGGCCCAAGTGGGTGGATTGCTCAAGGTCAGAACTTCAAAACCAGCCTGAGCAAGACCCTGTCTCTACTAAAAATAGAAAGAAACTAATTGACCAACTAAAAATATATATACAAACAACTAGCAGGCATGGTGGAACATGCCTGTAGTCCCAGCTACTTGGGAGGCTGAGGCAGTAAGATCGCTTGAGCCCAGGAAATTGAGGTTGCTGTAAGCTAGGCTGATGTCACAGCACTCATTCTAGCCTGAGCAACAAAGTTAGACTCTATCTCAAAAAAAAAAAAAAACCAAAGAGACGTTACAGCCTAAAAATAGAAGAAAATATAAACAGATACATATCAAACATGAAACTGTTAATGCTAGGGAGCTATAGAGAGGTGTGTGTAGAGTACATATATATGGGGATGGGAATACATAGAGGGTTCATTTTTAGATAAAAATTGTCTGTGCTTTTTTTTTTTTTGAGACAGAGTCTCGCTTTGTTGCCCAGGCTAGAGTGAGTGCCGTGGCGTCCTAGCTCACAGCAACCTCAAACTCCTGGGCTCGAGTGATCCTTGTGCCTCAGCCTCCCGGGTAGCTGGGACTACAGGCATGCACCACCATGCCCGGCTAATTTTTTTTTTTATATATATATCAGTTGCCAATTAATTTCTTCTATTTTATAGTAGAGACGGGTCTCGCTCTTGCTCAGCTGGGTTTTGAACTCCTGACCTTGAGCAATCCGCCCGCCTCGGCCTCCCAAGAGCTAGGATTACAGGCGTGAGCCACAGCGCCCGGCCTGTCTGTGCTTTTTGTTTGTTTGTTTTTTTCTGAGACACTGTCACTCTGTTCCTGGGCTATAGTGCCGTGCTGTCAGCCTAGCTCACAGCAACCTCAAACTCCTGGGCTCAAGCAATCCTACTGCTTCAGCTTCCCGAGTAGCCGGGACTATAGGCATGCGCCACCACGCCCAGCTAATTTTTCTTTTCGTAGCCTAGACATTTGTACCAGCTAATTTTTAGTTGTCCAGATAATTTCTTTCTATTTTTTTTTAGTAGAGACGGGGTCTCTCTCTTGCTGAGGCTGATCACGAACCCCTGAGCTCAACTGATCCACCAGCTTGGCCTCCCACAGTGCTAGGATTACAAGCAGAGCCACCGCACCCCGCCCTGTGTTTTTTAAAATCCCACTTATGACAGGAATCATATATGATAGACTATGGGTAGAAAGGAACAAATATTCTTATGCAAACAAAGATAAGAGCTAAAATCTAATCAGATCATCAAGACCTTATCTCTTCACAAACTAATTACCCTTCCCCAAGATTCTAATTTCTAAAAAGAGCATCAAAGTTTTTCTGTTAGCTAAGCCAGAAACTCCAGACTTTTACTTCTCCTGGGCCTAGTTCCTCATTAAGTATTTCGAGGGAGTCCCTCAGATTGTGCCCTCCTGCCCACAGCCCCTGCCAACACAGCACAGCAGCTCATACAAAGATTGAAAGAACAGCCTGTCTGCCTAGGTCTCCACCAACCACTCACATGTTTCTCTGCTACCTAAGGTGCCAAGGCCTTCTTGTCACCTATCTGTGCAATCTGAAGATCACATGCCTTCTTCTTGTCCCTCAATACAATTCAATAAATATTTAATTAGTGCCAACTATGTACCATGACCACTTTCTGTGCTTTATAGTTCTCTTTTAATCAAAACATAGCTCTGGTTATAATCGTGTTATGTATTCTTCCATCTAAGCAGATGTATTCATGTCTTGCAAGAAAAGTTTCACTGAATAAAAAAGCTCTCCTTTTACAGCTATCAAAAACCTCTATCAGGCCGGGAGTGGTGGCTCACGCCTGTAATCCTAGCACTCTGGGAGGCCGAGGAGGGCGGATTGCTCGAGGTCAGCAGCTTGAAACCAGCCTGAGCAAGACCCCGTCTCTACTAAAAATAGAAAGAAATTAATTAACCAACTAAAAATACATATACAAACAACTAGCAGGCATCGTGGCACTTGCCTGTAGTCCCAGCTACTCGGGAGGCTGAGGCAGTAGGATCACTTGTGCCCAGGAGTTTGAGGTTGCTGTGAGCTAGGCTGATGCCACGTCACTCACTCTAGCCTAGGCAACAAAGTGAGACTCTGTTTCAAGAAAAAAAACAAAAAAAACAAAACAACAACAAAAAAAAACCCTCTATCAGGGGCCGGCCGTGGTGGCTCACGCCTGTAATCCTAGCTTTCTGGGAGGCTGAGGTGGGCGGATTGCTCGAGGTCAGGAGTTCAAAACCAGCCTGAGCAACAGCAAGACCCCGTCTCTAATATAAATAGAAAGAAATTAATTGGCCAACTAATATATATAGAAAAAATTAGCCGGGCATGGTGGCACATGCCTGTAGTCCCAACTACTCGGGAGGCTGAGGCAGTAGGATCAGCTTGAGCCCAGGAGTTTGAGGTTGCTATGAGCTAGGCTGATGTCACAGCAGTCTAGCCCGGACAACAGAGTGAGACTCTGACTCAAAAACAAAACAAAACAAAAAAACAAAAGGAACAGTGGAAATCCAGCCACTCAGTACCCTGTCGGTAGATTTGGTAACACTAGTTAAATAAATGTGTCTGTTTGCATCTATGAAAGGGTGTGTAAACATTTAGTCCTTTATAGTCTAACAAAAGTTACTGTCAAAGCTGTATATCTCTCCCCTAAAAGTAGAAATAGGTATTGTGATGTGGAACTAACCTAGGAAAATTACCTTCCACTGGGAGGGAAGCCAAGAACACATACTATTTTTACATGAGTCATTTATTAATAATTCAATGGTGGCAAGCTTATACTCACTAAGAATCAAATTCTCAGTCCCAAAAGATACTGGCTTCATACTGACTTTAAGATAAAACTGCCATTAACAATCCCACCTATTAATTATCCTACAATTCTTTTTTTTTTCTCTCTTGTCCCTCTACTCCGAAAGAGAAATGTAAATTATCCTACAATTAAGTAGCACCAGACTTGCATTTTAGAATGACAAACAAACCCTCAGCTAAATTAGATACATCGTCAAATCAATACCAGTGTTACCTTAGTGGTATATGATTGCTGAGGAACATCTCAGCTGTGTTAATCAACTCTGCTGTGGTCTCATGTGCAGGATCAACTATGAAAACCTGTGGGGGAAGGGAATGAACAGATGAAATGACACTCTTTCAAATTTCCCTGGGCCAACCGAAGTGCCATTAGTCTTTGTACATGAAGCCAACCTTTTTCTAGCTATTCTCAAACCACATAAAAGAAGAATTATACAAATAACTGTCACCTTCCTCTGTGTTCAAGAATGTGGTACTGAAGGGCTAGGTGATTTTCTCATGGACTTATGCTGAAAACATGAAACTATATTCCAGGTTACTGACACCTATTCTAACACACCAATCAAATAACAAGTTTTAGCAACTCTCCCGCCTTAGAAAATGGAGATTGCCTTTTCGTGTATTCATTTCTGACGATCTCTGAGTTAACAATTCATTTAGAATTCAATTCTTAGGACACAGCAGTAGCTATCAGGAAAGCACACAAGCACCCATTATGTGCTAAGCAACTTACACATACTCTCTCATTTGACAAAGTTCATATATGTGATAAGAGAGAAAGAGAACGAAATTTTAACTGGGAAGGAAAAAGTGGTTTCAAGAGTGACAACAGCGCAGAGGGCAGTTTCCCCTGCAGGTTCTGAGGAAGCCAACCTTGGCACTAACCTGCCCCCATCTCTTGCGCAGCCGTGTGAGGGAAGAGAGAGACATGAGAAGGAAAGAGAGGGTCAATTAAGAACCTTCTTTCCCTTTCTCTCTCTCTAAAGCACTGAAAGAAGGAATAAGTAAGAGCTGACAAAAGATTTATTTAAAGGATTAAATTGAACTACTGAATTTTAGGGATTAAGATACAAAAGAAAAACAGCCTCAATATACACCTGAGGAAAAAGGAGAACTATTTTAAAAACTAAAACATTGTTATGAACTTAAAACTGCTAGACAAAATATGTAAGTCTTAAAATTGAAAAGAAGAAAACAACTAAAACCCAGTCTAAACCTTCGTGTTAAGGATGAAAAGCAGGTCAGTCCCTGCAGCTGCAGCCACCGCCGGCCGCCCCTCTGCCAGCTGCTCCGGCGCCACCCCGGCGTCTCCGGCGGGCGGGAGCCAGGCGCTGACGGCGCGGCCGAGCGCTCCAGCGGCTCCGGCTCCGGCTCTGCGCGAGCGGCCGAGCGCTCCAGTGGCTCCGGCTCCGGCTCTGCGCGAGCGGCCGAGCGCTCCAGCGGCTCCGGCTCCGGCTCTGGCTCCGGCTCTGGCGCGAGCGGCCGAGCGCTCCAGCGGCTCCGCCTCCAGCTCCGGCTCCGGCTCTGGCGCGAGCGGCCGAGCGCTCCAGCGGCTCCGGCTCCAGCTCTGGCTCCGGCTCCGGCTCCACGCGAGCGGCCGAGCGCTCCAGCGGCTCCGGCTCCGGCTCCGGCTCTGGCTCTGCGTGAGCGGGCAAGCGCTCCAGCGGCTCCGGCTCCGGCTCCGGCTCTGGCTCTGCGTGAGAGGCCAAGCGCTCCAGCGGCTCTGGCTCCGGCTCCAGCTCTGCGTGAGCAGCCAAGCGCTCCAGCGGCTCCGGCTCCAGCTCTGCGTGAGCAGCCAAGCGCTCCAGCGGCTCCGGCTCCGGCTCCAGCTCTGCGTGAGCAGCCAAGCGCTCCAGCGGCTCCGGCTCCGGCTCCAGCTCTGCGTGAGCAGCCAAGCGCTCCAGCGGCTCCGGCTCCGGCTCCGGCTCTGCGTGAGCGGCCAAGCGCTCCAGTGGCTCCGGCTCTGCGTGAGCGGCCAAGCGCTCCAGTGGCTCCGGCTCCGGCTCTGCGTGAGCAGCCAAGCGCTCCAGCGGCTCCGGCTCCGGCTCTGCGTGAGAGGCCAAGCGCTCCAGCGGCTCCGGCTCTGCGTGAGAGGCCAAGCGCTCCAGCGGCTCCGGCTCCGGCTCTGCGTGAGGCCAAGCGCTCCAACGGCTCCGGCTCCGGCTCCGGCTCCGCGTGAGCAGCCAAACGCTCCAGCGGCTCCGGCTCTGCGCGGGCGGCGGCGTCTGGCTTCTCCATGGGGCTGCCCCGCGGCGCCCGGACGCTCTGAGAACATTTCCACTGTTGGTCTGAGGGCACGCGATTCCTGGAGAATTGCCTTTGTGAGAAGCTGGAAATACTTCTTTAAATTCCATCTCTTAGTTTTCCAACTTGTTGCATTTTAGAGGAACATTAAGGAACCATGAACAACTTTAGTAATGAATAGTTTGCCACTTCCTTGATGAAGGTTTTAATGCCAAGGACATTCTGGACCAAAAAATTAATGAAGTTTCTTCTTCTGATGACAAGGATGCCTTCTATGTCGCAGACCTTGGAGACATTCTGAAGAAACACCGAAGATGGCTAAAAGCTCTTCCTCGTGTCACCCCCTTTTATGCAGTCAAATGTAACGACAGCAGAGCCATTGTGAAGACCCTCGCTACAATCGGGACAGGATTTGACTGTGCTAGCAAGACTGAAATACAATTGGTGCAGAGTCTCGGGGTGTCTCCAGAGAGGATTATCTATGCAAATCCTTATAAACAAGTGTCTCAAATTAAGTATGCTGCCAATAATGGAGTCCAGATGATGACTTTTGATAGTGAAGTTGAGTTGATGAAAGTTGCCAGAGCACATCCCAAGGCAAAGTTGGTTTTGCGGATTGCCACTGATGATTCCAAAGCAGTCTGTCGATTCAGTGTTAAATTTGGTGCCACACTGAAAACCAGCAGGCTTCTTTTGGAACGGGCAAAAGAGCTCAATATTGATGTCATCGGTGTCAGCTTCCACGTAGGAAGTGGCTGTACTGATCCTGAGACCTTCGTGCAGGCAATCTCTGATGCCCGCTGTGTCTTTGACATGGGGGCTGAAGTTGGTTTTAGCATGTATCTGCTGGATACTGGTGGTGGCTTTCCTGGATCTGAGGATGTGAAGCTTAAATTTGAAGAGATCACCAGTGTAGTCAACCCAGCATTGGACAAGTATTTTCCATCAGACTCTGGAGTGAGAATCATAGCTGAGCCAGGCAGATATTATGTTGCATCAGCTTTCACGCTCGCAGTTAATATCATTGCCAAAAAAATCGTATTAAAGGAACAGATAGGCTGATGATGAAGATGAGTCCAATGAACAAACCTTTATGTATTATGTGAATGATGGAGTATATGGATCATTTAATTGCATCCTTTATGATCATGCACACGTAAAGCCCCTTCTGCAAAAGAGACCTAAACCAGATGAAAAGTATTACTCATCCAGCATATGGGGACCAACATGTGATGGCCTTGACCGGATTGTTGAGCGCTGTGACCTGCCCAAGATGCACGTAGGTGACTAGATGCTCTTTGAAAACATGGGTGCTTACATTGTAGCTGCTGCTTCTACTTTCAATGGATTCCAGAGGCCCACTATCTACTGTGTGATATCAGGACCGATGTGGCAACTCATGCAGCAAATCCAGAACCCCGACTTCACACCCGAAGTAGAAGAGCAGGATGTCGGCACTCTGCCTGTGTCTTGTGCTTGGGAAAGTGGAATGAAACGTCACCCAGGAACTTGTGCTTCAGCTAGTATTAATGTGTAGATATTATTCCTGTAGCTGTTAACTTCAAGTTTAGCTTGAATTAAGGGATTTGGGGGGACCATTTAACTTAATTACTGCTAGGTTTGACATGTCTTGTAAGAGTAGGGTTGCACATGCAGCAATATGGAAGACTAGGAGATGGGGTCACACTTATCTGTGTTCCTATGGAAACTATTTGAATATTTGTTTTACATGGATTTTTATTCACTTTTTAGACATGCTACAAAAGAGTGCCCCTCAGCTGCTGAGCAAGCATTTATAGCTTGTACAATGGCTGAATAGGCCAAAAGCTTAGTGTTGTGACCTGTTTTAAAAATAAAGTATCTTAAAATTAAAAAAATTTAAAAAAAGGATGAAAAGCATTTCTTCACACGCCAGTGGGGGCGATGATGCTGCTGCTACATCTCACAGCGCCGCCAGGGATCAGCAGGTCCCAGAACCCTTTTGTTTTAAACATGGAGCGTATTTGGTGGTGGCAGTGGTGGGGAGAAGCGGCTAGTAAAGGAGAGAAGTGAACATTCTACATACAACAAAAAGGTAAGGGAGAGGGCAAGGGAGAGACCGAGTTCATAGCCACATAATAAGATGTTTTACTTACCATGTTATGTAAGTTTTTCCTGATCTGTCGGATAACACCAGGAAAGGTGGCTCTAAGCAACTCTTGTAGACTAGAAGGCCATGAATTGTATCTGCTATCAACCTCCAGGTTGTTGACCCACTACAAAAAATAACATAACATGGTGCACACACTTTAGCCACCAGTTAGTGAAATATGCAGCAATAACAATAAGACTCCAATTGTTTTAAAAATCACATGGGACAAGACCATTTTCAAAGATACAAAGAGCAAGCAGAAAAATGAGTGACTAAAAGACAAGCCACAGAATAGATGAAGATATTTGCAACCTACAAAACCACTAAAGGACTAGGCCCAAGAATATGGATAGAAATCTAACATCAGTTAAAAGGCAAGCAACTCATAGGAAATGGGTATAGGAAATGGAAATGGGTCAAGAATAAGAAATTTACAGAGAAACTCCAAATGAGTAATAGACATGAGGAAGACAGACATCCTCAATTTTAATCTAGGAACTTTGAACAAAAATCTCAATGAAATTTCACACTCAATAAACTAAAAAAAATTTAAAGTCATCCAGGAGAGCTATAAGGTACAACAACAATACAGAAAAAAAATTAAAAGTTGTTAATATCGAAGAATAGGCAAAGATATACAGCAGTGGGAATTCTCACCCAATGCTGATGTCTGAAAAAACAAATAGAGAGAACTGGACCTAATAAAGTTAAAGACTTCATTAGTACCCTAACCCTAGGTACTCTAGTTCTAGGTATCTAACTCAAATAAATTCTCACATGTATACAGAAGGAGAAAGGTAAAAAGAACAATTACAGCACTCCTTCCAAGAGCAAAAAATTAGAAACAACTTAATGTCCATAAAGAGAGCAATGGATAAATAAACAGTATGCATTCAAGGGAAGGGTGAGAAGGTCTGTGTATATTTCCTTGCTCATGTATGCATACTATATTTCTGGAAAAATATACAAGTATATGATAATGCTTATTGCCTCTGCAGAGAAATATTGCACTTTTTCACTATAACAGTATATACTGCATCTTAAATTTTAAGCTATGAAAGTATGATTTTATAAAATATGTAAATTATATCATATGATAAATTGTATGTATCAACTTGCAAAGGGCTTGAAAAAACTACTGACTAAAACAGAAGCTGAAGAAGGATACTTGCAGGGCACTGGATTATCCAAATTTTGAAGATATTTAATAAGAAATAAAAAGATAAGCTGGGCGCGGTGGCTCATGCCTGTAATCCTAGCACTCTGGGAGGCCGAGGCAGGAGGATGGCTCAAGGTCAGGAGTTTGAGACCAGCCTAAGCAAGAGTGAGATCCCCGTCTCTACTAAAAATAGAAAGAAATTAATTGGCCAACTAAAAATATATATAGAAAACATTAGCCAGACACGGTGGCGCATGCCTATAGTCCCAGCTACTAGAGAGGCTGAGGCAGAAGGATTGCTTGAGCCCAGGAATTTGAGGTAGGTGTGAGCTAGGCTGACTCCACAGCACTCTAACCCAGGCAACAGAGTGAGACTCTGTCTCAAAAAACAAAAAAAGAAATAAAAGGATCAAATAGGGGACAAGAGGAATGTACGTCAATTTCAGGAAAGGAATGACCTGTAGGAATGATGGGGGTGACTGGGAAGCGATATGAAGAGGCCTTCAACTGAAACTTTGTTCCCCCAAGAAACATGTTAATGTTATTCTCTTTACTCTTTAGAATCCAAAAACATACACAGAAAAACAAGATGACATTACCAAAGTATTCATCGAAATAACATGTTAATGTTATTCTCTTTACTCTTTAGAATTCAAAAACAAACAGAAAAACAAGATAACATTAACAAAGTATTCATCAAAATAATACCAAATGAGAACTTAAGTAATGATCACCTACACTATACAATATTTTCCTTTCAATAAAATTTCTCTAAAATAAATGTAGTACAGAAACAAAGAAAAAAAAAGACTGGCATGCCCAGGTTCTTTTGGGCACATCAGCTTTATCCTCAATCTCATCTTCACCATGTCTACTAGAAATGGCACTACTCCCAACATTCTCTTTGGCAGATGGCGAGATGAAGCCTCAGAGAGATCACACATAAATCCTTCAAATCTCAAATCTCAAAGTCCTACCAAAGGTAATTAGCATAAAAAGGGATGATTTTTAATAGTTGTTCTAATTTACAAATATTGTCACAAAATCACATAAGATCTTTACTCAACTTGGAAAATACAAACTTTACTAACAATTCTTTCCCAACATATACTCAGATGAATCCTAGGGTTGTAATAAACTGGAAAAATCACTGTCTTAACCACATTAGCCACAATAACTCAGCTTTTTGAAGCATTAAAGAATCTACTTTATTATGTAGATAAATATATAATAAGCAGTTGTAAATCACTGACATCAACAAAATAGTTAGTGGGAATAACTTAACTTTCATAAAAGACAGATTAGAAAAACATAATAAAGATATCTAGCCAGAATGTCCTTTGATCACCCTAAAAATATACTCACTGAAATGGCAGGACTCCTGATGTCTACTGCATAGTCGGCCTCAGAGGGCTGGATGTTCAGCTTTAAAACATTATGCAGAGAGAGGCCTTCTATTCCCAATCTATGTAGACCCTCCATTACCCGAGCTTCACTCCTCAACACATCAAAGAGACTGAAAAAAATAGATATTTAGGAGGGAAAAAACTGTGAGATTGCCCTCAACAGAATTCCTTCCCCCTGCCCATAACTCCTTTTACAAGGAAAAGGAAAAGGAAAAGGAAAAGGAAAAGGAAAAGGAAAAGGAAAAGGAAAAAAGAGAAGAGAAGAGAAGAGAAGAGAAGAGAAGAGAAGAGAAGAGAAGAGAAGAGAAGAGAAGAGAAGAGAAGAGGCCGGACGTGGTGGCTCACGCCTGTAATCCTAGCACTCTGGGAGGCTGAGGCGGACAGAAGGCTCGAGGTCAGGAGTTCGAAACCAGCCTGAACAAGAGCGAGACCCCATCTCTACTATAAATAGAAAGAAATTAATTGGCCAACTAATATATATAAAAAATTAGGTTGGCATGGTGGCGCATGCCTGTAGTCCCATCTACTCAGGAGGCTGAGGCAGGAGGATTGCTTGAGCCCAGGAGTTTGAGGTTGCTGTGAGCTAGGCTGACGCCACGGCACTCTAGCCCAGGAAACAGAGTAAGACTCTGTCTCAAAAACTACAAAAAAGAAAAGAAAAAAACTTTGAAAAAATCCTCACCATGAAAAAAATTTATCAATTCAACCTCAACGCCAAATCAAACTAATTTCAGAAATCAAAAACGGGGCTCTTCCCTGTTTCATCTTGTGGAAGTATGCAGAAGAAAACACGTAAGACTTGTTTCTTCATTCATATTTATCTATATTTATGAATGTACACATAAATCATCTCAAAGTATAAATGGACAGTTTACAGATGAAATAATCCTAAATCTATACTTTACACTACATGTTTTTTATATACATTAATTTCTCTGTATTATTTCTTACAACCGCATATGAATCTACAATTATCACAAAATAAAGTTTAAAAAACACATCACAAATCACAGATACTATATTATGTATGTTTAATATAAGTTTTAATATCAGTATCAACTTACACAGGAACACACATGACTACAGAAACGAATTCATACTCTAGTGATTTGCTGGGGGCGAGGGGGGCAGAAAAAGTGGGGAGGGACATGAAAAAAAAAGAGGACAAAAACTTTACTTTTAGTTACTTCATCGCTGTATTATTTTAAGTTATATACATGAGCAAGTATTTAGTTTATAATATTCTGAAAAATTACATGTATATTATTTAAATAAATCATACAACAAAAATACATATGTGCAATCGTTTTTTCTTTAATTAAATGAACCCTATATCCACTGGATGGGCAATCTTTTAAGTATCCAATATTTTAAGTATTTTACTAACTTATTGCTAACCCTATAATGCAATATATACACATAAAAACTAAATTAAAATAATGTGAAAAATCTCTTACTGTGGGAAAGGCCGCTTCTGAAGCATTAGCATTAGCTTTTGTTTTGACTATTAATATTATGAATCCATAATATGAATCCATGAATCCATGTCAACTGTGTCAACTTTAATTCCAAGAATAAAATCTGAATTCTACCTAACCGTCCACAACCCCTCACCCACTTAAATCATAAAGACAAATAGAGCAATTTAATCCTAAACCACATTTTAACAACAAAAAGGTAAGTATTCAAATAATATAATGTAGACTGGACGCCTTCTGAAACACTGAGAGTATTCTGAATAAACCTACTTCACACTGTTCCAAAAGCCAAAGAACCTTTGTTTTTCCATGTTTCTATAGTTAACTAGAAAACGTTAGCTCTAAAAGAGAATCCCTGAAAACACTTAGGCTTTGATTGTCCACTGTGACACAAGATGGCAATGTTCACAGTGCTCACCAGGCATAGCACGGGCTCACCATCATCGACTCAGTGGGCCTGAGAAGCCTTCAGGCTTTGCATCATGCCACATCACAGAGGGATGACAATATGACCATGGCAGAAGGAACCACACATTATAAAAACTATTCTAAGAATAAAAAATATTATCCATACCTGAATATATCCTGTGTATCTAAATCAATGTGAAGTCCATTGATGAAGAGAGCTGATTCTCCAGGCTGCAACCCTAAAGTTCCCTTGAAATACTAAAGAATTATAAAAATTATTAGGGAGCAGTGAGAGAATGTTTAACAAAAATTGCAGTGTCTCTGGGCTTTATTACTTGTATAAATCTTGACATCCTATGGCAAGGTTAAGATTTTCTTCTGCAGATCCCTCTTATCAGTTACTACCCTGATTGAAACTTTCTGTTTGAGACATATACCTATCCTTTTTCTCCCTAACTCCCTCATTCAGATGTTGATTGATACAACTGTTTCCTATAATGAGGTGGGGGGGGGAATAAGTCAAGAGCTGAAGGTCACTTTTCAAAAAAGAGAAAAGAAAATAAAACTAATTAAACAAATATTATCTATATTTAATGTTAGAAAACATATTTCCTCCTAACCCATAATACATTAAGATATTTTAGGCCGGGCGCGGTGGCTCACGCCTGTAATCCTAGCTCTCTGGGAGGCCGAGGCGGGATGACTCAAGTAGCTATAGTCCAGCTACTTCAAGAGGCATGAGCAGAATGATCACTGGGACCCCAGGAGTTTTAATTGTGCAGTGAGCTACGATGATACTCAGCTGCATTCTAGACTGGTGACAGCAAGACCTTATCTTCAAAAAAAAAAAAAAAAAATACTATAGTACTATATACTATAATACACACGATTAATATAGACAATTGTAAGCAGGAAATCAACACGACAGGAATTCCTATGGGAGGGAGGCAATAAGACTAAGAATGGAGTAACAAAAAGGCTTTAACTGACTGGTGTTTTTATGTTTTCTTTTGTTTTTAAAGTAAAAGAAGACTTATTGCTTGGAGAAAAAGGAAACTTGATAAATAATTTCTTGCGATCGAAAAGGTAAGTATGGCTGGGCGAGGTGGCTTCATGCCTGTTACCCTAGGGAGAATCAATCTCTGGGAGGCTGAGGCGGGCGATTGCTCGAGGTCAGGAGTTCAAAACCAGCCTGAGCAAGAGCAAGACCCCGTGTCTCTACAGTAAATAGAAAGAAATTAATTGCCCAACTAGTATATATAGAAAAAAATTAGCTAGGCATGGTGGCACATGCCTATAGTCCCAGCTACTCAGGAGGCTGAGGCAGGAGGATCGCTTGAGCCCAGGAGTTTGAGGTTGCTGTAGAGCCTGGCTTGATGCGCACAGCACTCACTCTAGCCCAGGCAACAAAGTGAGACTCTGTCTCAAAAAAAAAAAAGAATAG